AGCGGACGAGAGAGAGAGAGAGGAGAGAGAGAGAGAGGAGGGCAGAGAGGGAGAGAGAGAGAGAGGGGGGAGGAGAGAGTGGGGAGAGAGAGTAGTAGAAGAGAGAGAGGGAGGAGGAGAGAGGGCGAGAGAGAGAGAGCGGGAGAGAGCGGACGCGCGACGAAGAGGACGAGAGAGGAGAGGGGAGGGAGGGAGAGAGAGAGAGAGACGAGACGAGAGACGACTGAGATAAGAGGGAGAGGAGAGATAGGAAGGAGGGGAGGGAAGGGGGAGGGAGAAGAGGGAGAGAGGAGAGGGTGAGAGAAAGAGGAAGGCAATGAGGGGGGAGGGAGAGAGAAAATGAAAAAAAAAAGAAAGAGAAAAAACTGAGACTATTCGAGAAACGAAAAACATACAAGAAGAGCGGGGAAGAGAGAGAGAAAAAACGAGAGAGAGAGACAACGTAGCCACGCCGCCATCTCGTACCGCGCCATCTCCCCGAGAGCCGCATCCATCTCCTCCGCGGATGCCCCCCGCTTCCGTCCGGAGAATAACGTGCAGCTGACCGAACCATAGAGAACGAGAAACCGTGACTGACTTCGCCCACATGGCAGTACCAAACGTTGCGACGGAGAACAGAACGAGAAAGAAGAGAACGAGCGAAGAGAGAGGGAAGAGAGGAGAGACGAATTTTTCGTGAAGAGAAAACGGCACCGGCGAGAGAAAAAAAAACCGGTGACCGGGAGCAGGAAGAAGAGAGAGGAGAGGAGCACGCGAGGAGAGACGCAGGGAGAGGTAGTAAGGCGGAGCGTAGAGGAGGGACGAGAGAGAGGAGAGGAGAGAAGACGACGAGAGAGAGAGAGAGAGAGAGAGAGAGAAGAGAGAAGAGCAAGCGAAAGGCGAGAGAGGAGAGGGAACGAAGACACGAGAACGAGAGGAGAGAGAGCAAATCCTTCCTTTGCAGCGCCGAACTGAGCGAGGTCCCCCGTCACTCAACACTTGATTAAGCTTCCTCCTCCGGCGGTACGACGCACGCCAACAGGAGGGAGGAACGGGAGGAGTGATGAAGAGATGGGAAGGAGGAGAGGAGGAGGAAGGATGAAAAGAAGGGGGAGGAGGAGGAGGAGGAGGAGGAGGAGGAGGAGGACGGATGGGTGAACGGGGGAGGAGAGAGGACAGGACGGAGGAGGACGGAAGAAGGAGGAGGAAAAAACGGAAGGATGAAAAGAAGGGGGAGGAGGAGGAGGAGGAGAGAAGGAGAGGAAGGAGGCATGAGGGAAAAGATGGGGATGGAGGAGGACGGAGGAGGAGGGAGTATACGGAATGAGTATGAGGAGGAACAACAAGCCATGGAAGGAGGAGGAGAAGCAAGGAGGAAAGGAAGGAGAAGGAGAGGAAGAGACAGGAAAAAAAACGGAGTATGAAAGAAGATACAGGAACAAGAGCAAAAAGAGGCAAAGTCAAGTAGAAAAGAATAAGAGGACACACAAGAATCATCGTCGCGCATGGAGTCAGAAGGAGAGGAGAGCGGGGAGGAGAGGAGGAAGGAAAGAAGTAAGAGGGGGAGACCCCCAGGGCACATCGTCCCGTATCAGAAAGAAGGGGAGGAAGGAAGGGAAGGAAGAGGGAACGGAAGAGCGAAGGAGGAAGAACGAGTAAGAAGAAGAGGGCGGGAAGGAGAGCGAATCAGACCCAGAAATCATCAATCCGCATCAGAGTAGGGAAGAAGAAGAGGGAGGAAAAGTGAAGAGGAAAAGAAGAGAAAGAGTAAAGGAGCATAAACCCAGGAATCATCGGAAGATCCTCGATCCGCAGTCAGAGTAAAGAATGAAGAGAAGGAATGGAGAAGAAAGGAGAAGGAGAGAAGGAAGAGGAAGAGGAGGGAGAGAAGGAAGATGGAGAGAGGGAAGGAAGAGGAAAGGAGGAGGGAAGAAGGAATGAGAGGAAACAGAGGAGGACCGCCGAGGTTTAGCGGCTTGAGGGGGTCACTCAAGTAAGAGAGGGGAAGGAGATGGAGAAGGAGAACGAGGAAGAGGAGGAGGGAGGAGAGGAGGAGGAGGAGCGAGGAAAGAGGAGGAGGAGGACGACCGCCGAGGCTTTAGGCGGTTGAGTGGGTTTAGCGGGTTTAGCGGCCGGCGCGATGCTATTCAGAATATTAGTTGTGCCAAGGAATCCAATCAAAGCGGGAACGGCGGGAGGAGGAGGGAGCGGGAGTGAAAAATCGGGAGGACTCGCGGGAGACGTTTCGTGCGGCCGATGCCAGGGGTGTGAGGGCCAGTGTCGATGGGTGGAAGGGGGTGGGGGTGGGGAGAGGTGGGAAGGGGTGGGGTGGGGATGGGGGGAAGATGGGGGATGGGGTGGGGGAGAGGAGGGGGGAGGGGATGGGAAGATGAAGGGGGAGGGGTGGAAGGGAGGGGGATGGGGAGGGGGGAAACGGAGGGAGGGGAGAGGGTGTGGAGGGGAGGAGGGGGAAGAAGGGGGATCGGGAGAAGGGAAAGGTTGAAGGGGAAAGGTGGTAGAA